CATCATTCTCAAAACATTTGCTTTCTACTTGAGCCCTTAATATCAGCTTGTCAATTTTCCCCCTCCCTCCCCACTCACCCCTCCTTCATGAACCCTCCATAAATTATTTTGTCATATCTTACATTGTCCGATGGCTCCCTTCACCCACCCTTCTGTTGTCCATCCCCCAGGGAGGAGGCCATATGTAGATCCCTGTAATCGGTTCCCCCTTTCTACCCCACCTTCCCTCCACCCTCCAGGCACTGCCACTCTCACCACTGGTCCTGAAGGGGTCAAAATTTTTAATTACTATCTTTGCATCACACAAGCTGGTGTGCTTCTTCCATGTGGATTTATTTGACTCCTCGCTTAGATGGCTGCTTGTTTGAATACAAGCCTTTAAGACACAAGACACAATTCCAATTGATAGCTGGGCACTATCTGCTTTCTTCACCACACTTTGCTGTAGCACCCTTTTCTTCAGTGATCCTTTCATGAAGGTGGGTATCGAGCAGGAGCATGTTATCAGACCTAAGTGTTCTTAAATTGGGGCTACAGTTAAGTGGGAACCCAGACTTCAACTGCTTGTCCATGGGGTGTGCATGTTGCCAGTTCACGTTGGCAGTTATCATATGATGAAATAACAACCCTTTAATATAAACTGCATTGATAACAGCAATAAGCCAATCAGCAAACAAATAAACAGAACACAGACACCCAAAAATAAAAGAATGAAAAAGCAAGATCACAAAAAAGCAAGCTACGAGCAGGAAAGCAAAAACCCGTATAAACAAAGAAGTACAGCATTGTCCATCACCCCCGTGGGTAGACGAGTATGTCAATTGCACTGTTATCTTCATCCGTTCTCCCAATGCCCCAGCACTCCAAACACTGTTGTCATGAGGAGTATTTGTGAGCAGTTTCACCTTGAGCCTCAACCCATGAGTCTTTGTCCTACACCGTTCAATCTCTCATTCGATTGAGCTCTGTTGACCCTAAGTATGGCAATTATGCCAGTGGAGACCTTCCTGGGCCAACTCCCCCAAGTGTAGATCCCTGTTCACTGGATCCCAACCTGTTGAGTCACTGCAGGGTGGGCACCGAGGCACTTCATAGATGATGATCCTGGGTGCCTTTCCACCAACACCCACCAAGCCAGGGGTTCCCCCCAAGGTCCACAGTCCAGTGGAGGCCACTGTCTGCTTTCTCTATCATCCAAGTACCCCAGCCCTCAGTCCAAGGGTAAAGGTAGCTTCCAGGTATGGTTCAGTTCATTCAGTGGGGCCTCCATGTTAAATCCTTCTGGTGTAGCCCTGTTGTGCCCTGCTGCCTGCCAGGTTATCTTCCGAGATCATCCTGGTGCTTAGCCCTGGTTCACTGAAGGTTGGGTAGAAATGAATTCATCGTGTCTACCCAGGTACCAAAAATCTGGGCCCATTGGGGCAAAGAGATTTTGGGAATAGATTTCCAGACCTCCAAGGTTTGGAGGTCTAAGTCCTGGGAAGAAAAGGCACCTTTGAAGAAAATCTTGGTGATCCATTTCTTTTTTTAAAACAAACAAAACAAAACAAGTCATTGAAACCCTCTAGAATACAGTTAAATTTTGACTCAGATGTCAACTGGGTTTCTGGATAATCGTGGAGGAGAGACTCTCATGATTAGAGGCCAAGGGCTCTTGTTACTCATTTCTGTTTGGTCTTCTCCCGAAGCCCTGTGCCTGATGGGACTTTCCAGGGCTTCTAAGGGGAGTGAGGAAACTGATTAGAGACTCGTGTTCCTATGTTTTGTCTCATTCTGTAGTAATTTTTATATTTTCCCATGAAATAAAAGTCTGTGGCTACATGGTATTCAAAACGGTTGGGTGCTGATACAACAAAAGATACACCAGCAGAGATGGACCAGAACAGAGAACCCAGAGCTATAAATCCATCCACCTACAGACGTCTGATTTTGACAAATGGCTAAAATACATTAAATGGGGAGAAGTGGTCTCTTCAACAACTAATGTTGGCAAAATTGGGTTTCCATTTTGCAGAAGAATGGACTGGGATGCTTACCACACTCCATATTACCAAAATGATCACAATGTGTATTGCAGACACTAGAAGCATAAAGATCATCAATGAAAAACCAGGGACAAAGGTCAGGCATCAATACACTATCTGATATCGTGCAAAACACAGCAGCAAACAAAACAGATGAGTGGGGCATCCCAAAAATAAGAGGCTTATGGAAATCAAAAGGCTTTTTCAAAGAGTGAAAAGAGAACCCACAAATATGGGGGGCGGGGATTGACATTGGACACAAAACGAATGTCTAAAATCTACAGAAAACGGCAACACCTTAACAAGAAAAAAGATGGAAAAATGGGCAGAAGCTCATAAAAATACAGTTCACCAAAGAAGACACCCAGGTAGTCAAGAAATATATAAATATAGGTTCACAAGCACTCGCTATGCAAGAGATACAAATCAAAACAATGATGAGATGAGATACCATCTCACATAGGTTTTGATAGCAAAGCTTAAATCAAAAAGCATGCTGGAGAGGGTGCGGCTAGATCGAAACCCTCGTACACTGCTTGTGGTTCTGTGCAACCACTGTGGGAGGCAGTCAGGCACTTCCTCATACAACTGATAACATATAACATATGTTATACAACATACAACACATAACAAAACCCAGCGATTACTTGGTATGCAGAAACCAGGTACAAAATACAAGGTGATGTATGCACACTCATGCTCATCACTGCACGATTCACAATTGGAAGAAGTGGAAGAATGGATACATAACATTTGTTACATACATACAGTGGAATACTGTCATTCGTTTCTGAAAGAATAATGATGAAATCGTGAACCACCTCATGACCTGGGTGTATTTGGAGTGAGGTCAGCCAAACACAAAAGGACAATATTGTATTGGACCACCGTAATACAAACATTAAGATCAAGGTTTTCATGCCACAAGAAACAGTGAGTCGGAAGAGAACTGAGGGAAGAGGAAGTAATAGACCAGAGGATATACGGGTTAATTTGTTGAAGGGGAAGATAATAACCAACTAAAAGGAGATAGGAAAAGGTTGGGGGGGGCAGGGGGGCAGGGTGAGCTATTGGCAGAGGTGATACATTGCTAAAGTTATGTAACAAAAATAATGATCTGATATGTAAATCCCCACCTAATCCACAATTTTTAAAAATCAATTTATTGGGGCTCATACAATTCATCACAATACATAGATCAATTGTGTAAAGCACATCTATACATTTGTTACCCTCATTATTCCCAAAATTCGCTTGCCTCTTGGGTTCCCGGAATCCGCTAATTTTCCTTTTTTTTTCTCAATTGTTTAAAAAGTACTTAAAGCCTGCGTGCCTGTTTTCTTCTTAGTGATTCGACCTTATTATTATATTAGTAGTAGTACATTTATAAGGCTGAATTACTAAGAAGGAAGCAGCCAGGGGCTTTTAAAAGCGTCCTTGTGAATTAGATAGGTGTTTGCATCTCAGATCAGGAACCTGGTGGCACGGTGGGCTATCCATTGAGCGGCCAGCAGCAAGGCCAGCGGTGCAAAAGGCACAGGAGGAAGATGAAGGTGTGTGCTCCCATGAAGACTCACAGTTTCAGCAACCCAGAAGGCAATCCTGCTCCGCCCTGTGGGATTGCTCAGTCAGAATCCGCTCTAGGGCAATGAGTAAATATGAATATGGGGTGTGTGTGTGTGTGTGTGTGTGTTCACACCTTTATAGGACCATTGGAATTGCAAACAATGTATCTTTAATGATATTAAGAAAACGCAAATTTAGGGTTAGGAGTGAGAATATTATTGTGATCGTATTAGCTTGTGTTTTCAGAGGGCATAGTTTTCAGAGAGATATCAAAATATTTTTGCAGATGAGATGGGATAGCTGGGATTTGTCGCCAAGTAGTGTAGGAAGGGTGGCAGCATGCAGGTATGCCTGAAACAAGATTTACCTGAGGTGGGCAGTTGACAGCTGATCAGTGAGCTCAGGAGCACTGATGGCACTGGTCTTTGGTCCATGTGTAAATTTTTCCCTTACTACAAAGTTTTTTTTAAGTATCAAAATCAGTAGAACTTTAATTCATATATTTTTTTTATCATTTTATTTGGGACTCGTACGACTCTTCTCACAATCCATACACACATCCATTGTGTCAAGCACATTTGTACATTTGTTGCCATCCTCATTCTCAAAACATTTGCTTTCCACTTGAGCCCTTGGTATCAGCTCCTCATATTTTCCCTTCCCTCCCCGTCCTTCCTCCCTCATGAACCCTTGATAGCTCATAAATTATTATTATTTTGTCATGTCTTAAAAATTATTTTTAAACAACATTTAATAATGTGGAATTTTGATGATAGACTGTTAAATGAAATTTGTGTATCTAAAACTTTACATGCAATGCTGTATATTTTCATATACAGGAGAAGAGAAGAAACTAGATAAAATATATATTTTATATATAAATTATATAAGTATGTATTACATATTGAGTGGTGTATTATATATTGAGTGGTGTAAATATATATTGTTTTTCAACCTTTGATATTATTTTTTCTATATTTTGTACAAAGAAATAGGTTTATGATTTTATGAAACTACTTTTAATATAAAGTTATGTGAAAATAAGGACTTACAGAAGTATACTGGTATATGAAAGACAACCTCAATTCTGCCTAGAAATGTGTGTGACTGTAATATGTGTGCTTCTTAGCTTTTGGTGTATTTTCTTGAATAGGTATAATGTTATCCGTAAACTAAAGTATGTGAAATTAAAGCCAGATTTATTGTGTTAATTTGTCTATAACGGACTAGACATATCGGACAATGCACCAGACAAGAAAGAAGCCACGTAATCTGTGTGTATAGAACACAGACGAATTAAGATGTTTACACATGTTTAACTTGTTCAAGTAATTACCATTCTGACACATACTCTTGCCTTCACATACTTAATTCCTGAATAACCGTTTTCCTCTTCTCGGCCGTTTCTAGGTATCTCCATGCCGATACCAGTCTTCGGACTGCAGGATGATTCCAAAGTCTTTAAGGAAGGGAGTTGTCTCCTCGCTGATGATAACTTCGTCCTGATCGGCTCCTTTGTGTCCTTTTTCATCCCTCTAACGATCATGGTGGTCACATACTTCTTAACCATTAAGTCCCTCCAGAAAGAGGCCACTTTATGCGTGCGTGACCTTGGCAGCCGCACCAAACTAGCTTCTTTCAGCTTCCTCCCTCAGAGCTCCCTGCCTTCAGAAAAGCTCTTTCAGCGCTCCATCCACAGGGAGCCGGGCTCCTACGGCAGGAGGACGATGCAGTCCATCAGCAACGAGCAAAAGGCCTGCAAGGTGCTGGGCATCGTCTTCTTCCTCTTCGTGGTGATGTGGTGCCCCTTCTTCATCACGAACATCATGGCCGTCATCTGCAAGAAGTCTTGCAACGAGGACGTCATTGGAGCCCTGCTCAATGTGTTCGTGTGGATCGGCTACCTCTCCTCGGCCGTCAACCCACTCGTCTACACCTTGTTCAATAAGACCTACCGGTCGGCCTTCTCCAGGTACATGCAATGTCAGTACAAGGAAAGCAAGAAACCATTGCAGTTGATTTTAGTGAACACGATACCAGCCTTGGCCTGTAAGTCGAATGACCTCCATCGGGACCAAGAGAGGCAGCCAAGGAAAGATGGCGAGATGGTGGGTACTGACTGCTCCATGGCTGCCCTGGGACAACCGCCACCGGAAGATGCGCCCACCGCCAGTGTCCACGCCTTGAATGAAAAGGTCAGCTGTGTGTGAGGCGCTGGTTGCCATGGTAACGGTGGCCAAACACGGAGTGCGTTGTTCCCTGTCTGACAAAAAAGGAAGAAAACACACACACACACACACACACACACACACACGCACCAAGGAAGTCTGGAACAAAATTAGGCCAGCCTGGTAGAATTGACAATAATCTCAGTAGATGCCTCATTTTATTCCGTCAATGAAATGCAGGGTTCCACGCCGCACAGCATTTCAGCTGTGAGATTTATTATACTTCTTTTCAACTCTCGATATCTATAAAGTAATTTAGCTTTATTGTATCGTCCCAAGGAGGCCACACTAAGTGTATGTGTGCTTTTGAGTGGAAGCCTCGCCACAGCGTTGCTAATTGACGGTATTGGTTTTGACGATCGCAGCTTGCTGGGAATATAAATAGCTATAAATAGTGAAGCAGTTGTCGCTAACAATGGCCTCTTAAATAAAGGAAAACACTCTCATGAACATTTCAAAATCTGTATTACTGAGATCATTAAACACTGGACATTTGTCCTTCCTGGTTTTCCATAAATGCCATTTTGAAGCATTCATATGTTTTTCGGCATTTGTGGCAGCCTGTGTGAGTTCTTCTCAGAAGTGAAAATGCTAGGAGTTTACATGTCATTTAATAACTATTGTTGCTTTCTCTTCTATGGCAGTGCTTGCCCCTGAATCTCCAGCACGGTCTTGCGTAGTGTTGTTCTGCCAGGTAAACTATCAAAGGACTAGCTTAACGCGACCAACTTCATTTCTAGACATCGCATCTACAAAGCAGCAGCATGGAGGTGTTTGGTGCTCACGGGGCCGTGGCTGCCTCATGCATGTGATCCTTTGAGCAGTAAGCAGTATGTCAATGTCATTGTCAAGACTGAGAGAGCAAATCAGGTTGTTGGTGTGACCAACGATGTCTCAGAACATTTCTGTCAAAAGCAGGTATCGACACCATCAGGCAAATTGATGCCTTCATATCAATCAATCTATATCGATAGAGATATCAGCATGAAAACTGTTAGACGTGGCTCCACAACCATCCAATAAGTGGTACTAGCTATGAAGTAATTGTTAGGGGAACCAGTTGCCATTAAGTTGACTCCATTCATGGTGTCCCTGTGGGTGAGCATGGCTTCTTGAGAAACAGAACCCCAGGCCTTTCTTCCAAGGAGCTGGGGATGGAGCTGTGCTACCTAAGAGCCACCAAGCCTTCAGGTAGCACTCAAGCACTCAGACCATTGGCACTACGTAGGCACTCAAATTTGCTAGGTATTCCGAATGGAAAAATGAACAAAACACAATTCTGGGCTTTGAAGAAGATCACTAGATTGAAATCAACTTTCTCAAAATATGAGGCTTATTTTGAGAACCAGTTCAATTTAATTTCTTTTGACGTGGTCCAAAAAAAAAGACAAGTGTGTTTCAACTCTTAGTGTAGTATTCCCAAATGAGTTTTCCTGATTGGTTGTCATTGAATACCAAAACCCACCGCCATCAAGGCAATTCCAACCGACAGCGAGCCTGTAGAGTCGGGGTGGGGCCATCCAGCCCCCAGGTCAGAGAAGGCCCAAGGCATCATCCAACCAGCTAGCATCGCACACCTTACCAAAGAGGAGCGGTCCCAGCCATCACAGTCTAGGGTGTTAACGAAATGTTTGACCAGTATGACCTGAGAGTGATGTTATAAATAACCTTTGGCCTGAAATACGTTCCCCACCTGCTAGAGTTTCCAAGTCTATAAATCTTTATAGATGCAGAACGCTCTGTCTTTTTCCCACAAAGCAGCTGGTGGATTTGCTCTTGTTAGCAGTGTGAAGAGGAATAAAAAAGTCATTTAATATAAAAATTGCAATTAATCTGGAAATGTGCTTCTCAGGCTGGTTATGACCCAAGTAATAACTACAAACTTTCCGGCCACATTTCTGGTCCCTCTACATTGATTCATCTACTCATCAACATTGCATTCCCTAATTTAAAAGTAAGTAATATAATAGTTTGTTAAAACGTTCCTAAAGAGAGAAAGAGACTAAGGGATGTTCATCCACCGCAATATTATGCTACTATATGTTAAACTATGCATTATTAGAGAGTTAGGGGTGATTATGTGATTGCAGTGCTAAAGCATTTCATATTGAAGGGAAAAAATAGCTTTTCCCCCAATCCTGTAAAATGTATGGATTTCACAATGAAAGAATCTGGGAAATGCCATTGTGTAATTTGGAAACGCATTGTCCTATGCCCTTAGAGAGAGACACTCTGAATTTTCACTGCCATCCTGTTGATGCCTGCTCCTAGCGAAGGCATTGGACAGGGCAGACCTGCTCCTGGGGGTGTGCAAGACTGTCATTTCTACAGGAGCAGACAGTCTTCCCTTTCTCCTGACGAGCAGCTGGTTCTCAGCAGTCCACCACAGAGGCATTGTGCCAATGGCTCCTCAGAGACCCTTCCACTGAAAAGAGGATTTCCTACTTCAAGGTTGCAATTTCTAGTCAGCCTAGCATGGCTCAGATCTAGCCTTCCTTTGAAAGGACTGCCTTTTAATGGTAAAAATATAAATCACTCTGCTCTGATGTATTTTGCCTTAGCTTATAATTGTACATATTGTTATAGTTAGAGGAACAATTACAGGTTCTACCCCGATAAAATCAACCTGAATCAGAATGAACATAAATACTGCCTGACAGATGTCTACAAGTATCACAAATGTGCGTTTCTGTCCTTTCCACAGATATTTATTCAATGTATATAGACAAATGTGTTTCTGTATATATGTACAGATATGCCCCGTGCACTTTATTCAATATTTATATATTTATATGGAAGAAAAGCAAGAGATATTAATGACAACACTCCGTATATGCCCATGTGTGCATGTTCTTATCATGTCAGTTTAACTGTGAATTAATGCTCTAATGTTTCTATGATCTTCCCTTGCTGCCAAAACTAATTAAAGTGTAACAGGGACATCAGCACATCAAATGAACTGGAAATGTGTCTAATTTTATGGGGAAACTTTAACACAAGTCTACATATAGAGTTGACCTTAAACAAAATGGTACATTTTGGACCTTTTATTTGGTGTGGGGACTATTGACAACTATCAATGGCAGGCTCTGTCTGTGTTGTCCCACTCCTTGCTGACCCCACGTGGGGCACAGACTGTTCCACGGACTGTCCCAGGTGGCGGCCTTTCAGAAATCTGCCCACTGGTCTTCTGCGGATTCATCAACACCATTCCGTTCCAAACATCAGGTTGTTCCCTGAAACATCAGGCTTCGGGAACTAAACCTTTCTAAGCTCTAAATGTGATTTCCAAGGTGGCCCCGTCGGGGGCGGGGCAGCTTGCTCTCCTGCAACTGCTGTCCACAGCTCTCTCATCTCTGCACCTTGACCTCCTTACATTAGGTCAGCGGGTCAGCCTGCACCATGTTGAACTATGGCCCAGATGACAGGGTTGGGATTTGTCACCAGGAGGGGGGGTCCTTCCTACCCTGTCCCCTGCGAGACTTCTTGTTCTCCATGGGAATGCCTGCCCACTCCGGGCTGCTGGCCCCAGCACCTCCAGAGCACAAAGGGCAGGTCTTGGGTCTGCTGTGTAGTAACAGCTACTCTTTCTTTCTGCAACCCCCCTGATGCCTTCTCACGGGCCCCAGACCTCAGCTCTGCTCAGATGGGAGGGAGGGCGGCCACCAGCTTGCAGGTCCAGTCAATATCAGCTGAGCAAGCTAATGAAGATTTCAAAGCCCCAACATATCTGCTTGGGTATTCTCTCTTTCTCTCTCTCTCTCTCCTAACTTTATTTTCTTCTAAGACTAGAGACAGAGAGACCAAGGACTTAGGGCACATTCTCTAAACACAAGGATCCTTACCTAGCTTTACGGGGATGTGAGTAGATTTTTTGCTATTGTCCTAAACCCAGGAACAGTCAGATAAGGAGATAAGTGAGGCGTAGGTGTAGATCCCTAGACCTGTCTTCTAAGGCACCGAGTTCCAAGAGCCAACCTCTTGACTGGTAATTGAGCACTTAACCTTTTGATCCTCCCAAGGACTTTTTCTAACTACTGTGGTTTTTAAAACACAGTGCCCTCTCCTGTCCCAGTGAGTCAAAACCTGAAATGTTTTCTCATTCTGTGACTAAGGAACACACACTTAGTCAATGTAATGAAAATACAGTAACAAATCTTCCCTAATTTAAGTTGAATAAAAGTTATTATTATTATTGTTTTTTAAGGGAAAGTTCTCTTACTGCGAACCTACTTTACTTGACCACAGCACCATCTTGTGGTCATTTTTTAAAGTGCTGTTTGTGCCAAATCACATAATGGACTGCTTTTAGCAAAGGGTGTGTCTCCCACATGTGCATCGATGAAATATATTTATAAATGATTAACCTATTCTGTGCCATATGTAAAAAGTACAGTGGAGACTGTCATGTACCAATTTTAATTTAGGCAATTGCAAGAATTCTCAAGAAAGAATGAATAATTGTAAATAAAGTATATTCAAAAATGAATACTGGTTTGTTAATTAATAGCTGTAGCCCCAAACCTTGTAAACCAGCAGGCTGGGTGGTTCTGGTATCCTCCTGGTGTTTTTAAAGCACAAGGCCTAAGGTTCTGGGCATCAGACATGGCAAAGAGCTGGGAGCCACCTGGCTGAGTTGGTTCAATGGTAAGGTGACCAGACGTCCCGCTTTTGACAATTTGTCCCGCATCCCGTGGCGTTTTGAAAAAGTCTCGATTTTTGGAATAAATGCGCAACAAGCTAGGGAACGGCGGGAGAACAGGAAGACCAAATTTTTAATCAAAAACACACACACACACCCCACCTCTGGTCAATGGTGTCCCGCTTTACCAATGTCAAAATCTGGTCACCTTATTCTATGGTCACAATCCAGTTTCCAACCATCTGCATCAGACAAATGCATGGTGCTGGATTGCTAGGTTGGGTTGCTCACACTCTAGGAACAAAGAATTTCAGCTCTACTCCAAGACCTGCACAAGTGTATAGTATGTGTACAAACCTGGATCCTTGTACGCACTCTCACAAACTCATAGGATATAGCTTCACGAATTAAAGTAAGCCAAGAAGACATACTAATATTGAAG